GGCTTATCTTCTGTGATGAATTGAATAACGTCGGTTGATTGAACACACAATTATGAGAAATAGTGAAGCATAGATGCCATTGATAGTTATGCACATCAGAGATGAAACATGTCAAAACATGTTTGATACATGCATTATATTGTTTGTTGGTTGATAAGACATATCTAATTTAATGTCACATTATTTGCAGAAAAAAAACCTCCTTTAATAATAACAAATTTTACTACACCTTATTATTTTTGCATAATAATCCTGCATCAGAAATCTACTCGTAACTAAAACAAATCAAATCAAATCATTTTATTGGTGTAAAATCCAAATATTGGGTTGTTACCAAGACAAACATGACAATATTTACAAACATAGAATATTTAGATTAAAGCAACATTCATATTATATAAGTATCTCGTATATTTAGATATTTTGGAGGAGGTGATACTTTTGCAAATTTGAAAGTAAAAGTACAATATTCTTAATGCTATTGTTATAAAATATAACATAACAAATATATATGAAAAATAGAAAATAATCACAAATTTGTATTACACGATTAGTTTTTCTTGTCAGCTAGGCTATTTCTTAGTACATATAAATCATTAACCCCCTTAACAATAATCTTAGTTATGTCATACTCATTAAATGTAAACATAAATGTAAATTTTTCCTCATCAGACATTTTGTTGAAAGATGGAACTATACTCTCTACTTCCTAAAAAGTTTTTGCCTACGTTTTTCTAAAATTTGACATTTTAAAGCAAAATGATATTCATCTTCAATCCCATTTTTACAGAGGGGACATAATCTTTTTTCCAGAGATAATTTACGGTGTCTACCCTGTTCAATATTTAGATAACTATTACTTAATCTGATGTTAATAAAATTAGATATCATGTATCGGTCTAAATCTATTAATAAAAACATTTCTAATTTGTAATCATTTTTTTAATTTTCTGTCTGTTCTTAGTATGTTTCCATTAGGGTTATTTTGGTCATTAAAAAGACTATTATTCAGAAATCTGTATATCTTTCAGCGAATGTGTTCCCTACAGCATTAATCAGGCATTTTTTTGAGAAAGTATTTTGATTTTCCTATACATGATTGAACCCTATTTTTGAAAGAGCATTTTTCAATTTGGCTACAAAAACCATTAGGTAAATTTAAACTACATTTATAGGCATTTGAAGCATAACTTTCTTCTTTTATCAAATGTCACCAAAACCCTACAGAAGTCTTTAAAGCACGAATAGCAACAGTTTACATACCTATTTCTGCTAAAACTGCTGTGTTAACAGCAGTTTTATTTACACCAACAAGATATTTAGCAAATTTTATTTGAAATTTTGATGGCAAAAATGATAAATATCTTCATTCATGACTTGAATTGTCTTTAACTATCATATATTAAGTGCCCATATTTCACTGCAATAAAGTAGTATAGGTTTCAAACAACTTTCAAACAGTTTTAAATATGGATAAATATTAAGTTTATCAGAGAATAAAAGCTTCGTAATAGAGCTGCCCTACACATTATTAAATACCAAAATGACATTTTAGCACTTTAGTGTCAATATCGCCAAATTGTGTTGCTTGAGATTGCAGTTTAATTTAGGCTATGACATTACATTTATTTTTTTTATTAAAAATGACATAAAAATGTATATCTGAATTCTTGCGCGGCCAGTCCAAATGACCAATATTCCCATTACTTTTCAGAGACCCTTTTCTCTGGACCAATTTAGTCAATCTTGGCATGAGTAAGCATTTATATACTTTACACAATATTATATCATATGATTCTATATGTTTGAATAATATGGATAAAAGGTAAGGTAAGGTAAGGTAAAGTGTCTAAAACTGAACAGTTTATTTAAGCCAAATATTAACTTGTCTTATGGTGGCTAGCCTTTCCTGCCGAACACGATGGACATAACTGTCGTTACAACAAATTTTAAAAACCATCACTACAGGAGCAGTAACTGCTTACCCTTCCGGTTCACCTGAATACCCCACGTCACATCTATTCATCTGATTCCAGAACCAACGAACATCGAGAAAAGATGTGTTAGTACCATTAGCGTTTACAACTTAATCTGAAATGTCTGCATAATACAATTGGTAATAAAATTAAAAGGAAAAAAGGAGTAAATTAGAGTTCTGAGGAATTACAAATGTCATTTTATGAGACAATTACTCAATTGACTTAAAGACAAAGATTTGAACAAAACCCATTACGTTTAGAAAGCTATAGGATAATATCCTCTGTCTCAGTTATATACAAAAGGTCCGGAATGACAAAATAACAAAATTGAAACATTTCAAAAGAGAAAACCAACGGTCCAATATTATAATAAGTTTTAATTCAGTTAGGTACTTATATCATATAAGAAAGGTTTTGTATTGTTTCATATATGTATAAGTACCGAACTGAATTCAACATGTAAAAAGAAAAAAATGTCCCCTGTTCGAGGTCGGGATATTTCAGGTTATTAGGGTGTAAGGTCGGATCCGGAACATTGTTGATGAAAGATGATGTGAGAATAAAGATGTGCAGTTTATGTTTGTTTTGACTTGTCTTATTTAGTCCCCGTCAAGGTAAGATCATCAGAAAGGTGAAGTGAGAGTAAAGATGTGCAGTTTACGATTGTATTGACTTGTCTTATTTAGTCCCCGTCAAGGTAAGATCATGTCAGATGGAAGACAGCAACCAACGACAACCACTGGATTAAAATAGGCTCATGAGGAATGTAGATGGGTTAAACATGTTTAATAGCGGTAAAGCCTACCCTTAACCTGAGACAGTGGTTAAACAACACCACATGAAAACAAACTGTGAAAATTTATACACTTCCGTTATTTATGGTTAAATTTGAAAAGACAACAGAAGAAGAAACACGACAGTTACATATACAGAAACGGCACACATTGGAAAAATAAATTATAAAAAAAACAAAGGCAACAAGAAGTCCTTATAAACTAGAAAGAGCAGGTGCTCCGAACGGGTAACCTTTATCAGAAGGAAAGTATCAAAACATTTATGACGTCATCATTAAGTGGCCGATTTGTTATACCGACCTGTCATTTCATAATTTAATAATCACTATATATAACTAATCAACGTATTTCACAGGCGTCCCACTACGGGTGTCGCATGTGCATGAAGCAGGATCTGCCTACCCTTCCGGAGCATCTGAGATCAACCCCAACAAAGTTGTTGCTCAGTTTTATGTCTTCTATGTCGTGTTTTGTATACTGTTGTTTGTCTTTTGATTGTTTTTCGTTTTTTAGTCATGGCGTTGTCAGTTTGTTTTCGACTTATGAGTTTGAATGTCCCTTTGGTATATTTCGCCTCTCTTTAATAGAGTTTGTTTGTCTGAAAGGAAGGTTTATCCGATTTTGGTACAGCTTAATAAGGAGATAAAAGAATAATATCAGTATAAAAGCAATAAATATTTGTCATTCATACTTTGTCGTGATACATATCTCATTTACTTCCATAATAATGGTTTCAGCTGTTAAGAAATTGGTGAATATAAATTTGTAAACCATGATTAATAAAATATCGTTCAGAAAGGCATTCCGAATGGCGACTACATACTGTTTAATAGCCGAGCTAAATATATTTACTTTGAACAAGGGGATTGAGAAAGGGAATAAAATAGAAAATCCTCTTAATACGATCTGTTGTAAATATTTTGATAGCTAAAGCAAATACGGCGTAAATTGTTGATCATAAATTTCTAAAGAAACGGAGGGGTCTTACAGACACTTAAACAAGGATTACTTAAATTGGTTTCGTTTCCCTGACCTACCTCGATACCGGCTTTTATATAATATTGGTGTTTCGAAGGATAGAATATCGAATAGGCTGTGTGGCAATATTTCAGTTTGACAGTCAATAACGTAGGGACCCTGCTAAGAATAAGGCTATTAATAATGATGTTTTATACATCTATATTCAATGCAGTGAAATTTGACATTACTGTCTACTGAAATGTCCCATTTAATGGTCTCATAAAATTATTTTATTGGCTAGCCGCAAAAAAACAATATAATTTTAAGATGCAGAATACATTCAGTTTTGCTACACTGTTAAAATATATGACATCATATTTTACGATTTATATGAATTAATTTGATAATGATTTTTAACGTACATTCCTCGAGCTTCTCTCATTGTTGCGTTTGTAGTATAAGAAAGTCATTCCTTTGTATAATTTTCATAAAAAAATGTTCCTTCTTCCTTTCTTTTTAAAAATAATAATGATGCTGTATGATTGCCAATGAGACAACTATCCAACAGAGACCACAGGGCGTGGATGTAAGCAACTATAGCAAGTCTATCAAATATCAGAATTCATATTATGTCAAAATGTCTTCAACAGTAAGCAAAACTGATACCGTGTAGTAGGCTATTACCAATTATAAGTAAGCTTTCTTTCTTTGATATTTTAATCAAACGTTGCAAGGCAGCGTATTTACTTATCCTTGATTTTCAAATGCTTTGGTTTGAGCGTCCCTAATGAAAATAAATCGAAATCCAGAGAAGCGCTTCGGGCGCACGAAATCAAGTATCTATTTCATTTAATCAACAGTTAAGACAAAAAGATTTAATTCTATTTATAACAAAAGAAAAATCAACACACTATCATTTATAAAGCTGCGGAATGTAGAACACAGAAAATATTAATAGAAAGTAACAAAACATGGGCAAACTTTTAAAACTGTCATTGCAAATTAAATGTTAGCACAGGATAACCCTATCCATTCCCGTTACGATGTTTCAGTGTTATCAATAATTTTAGAAAAAGTCAATATAAGATGCCATAATTGAAAAATAAACAAACTATTACAAGAAGGCTCCTATGATATTATGTTTGCAGTGTCTTCCTTATCAATCAAGCTATTCGTGTCAACGTATTTCGACAGTAATGGGGCGCTTTAATCGGTTTGTTATTAAGGTGGTCGACATGCTATAGGTAGCACTGTGTTAATACCTATATATTGTAAATACCAGCCCATTTTAACCAACTGTGCGTTTAATTCAAACGAAACGTTAATTATCATTGAGAGAAGGGATTTTAACAGACGACAGTAGAAGTGACCGATTAAAACGAGACATTTGATTGGTTGAAGTGCTCTTGTGGTTGATCTTTGACCTCTTGCCGTTTTTTTTTTTATCACTCATTTATTTTTTCAAACGTTTGCACCTGTCCAATGATACACATATCTTTCGAATTTGGTAGTATATTGGTTATAGAAGTCCCACGCAACAAAAACGGACTGTGGAGCATTTAAAGGATTAATTAAATTTATTTCGATGGATGTTTCGTTGCGGAACCTTTAAAACAGTGGCACATTTTTAAGATTATAATGTTTTTACATTAAAGTGATATTTGAAAAAGAAATAAAATGTGAATTTTATTTATATTAACGTGGGATGTTTATTTTCTCATTACGATGTTGGATTAATAGTTAATTATGATGATTCAAGAGATAATTTCGACAGTACTGTTACTAGCTGTGATAAAGGTATGGTAAAATTTGCATTATTTATTTCCAGTCAAAATAATACTTTAATTTGATATTTTTATAGCAGATAATGTTTTAAATTATTTTTTTATTATTGGATGACAAGTGATTCAGACATAAGGGAAAATATATTCAAAGTTCATGACTACTGAATGCATGCTAAAAGTACATTAGTTGAATGTTTGAAAACATACTAAATGCACAACTATTTACTAGATCCGTGATGTTTAGGCATTTAGCTGTCGGTATTTGCGTGCAAAATAATAGTTCTTCCATTTTAATCATCTGAAAGATAATAGTATTTAGTTTCTATACAAGGATCTATTTGATTTCGCCTTAGCAAGTCTAATTATTATCAGTATGTTTTTTACATGTTTGCACAAAACTCTTTTTAATCAATATAACAGACTATATATAATATAGTTGACATTCTTGTGCGATTTGTTAAATAAAAATCGACCTGTAGTTTAAATGTCTTGCAACCATACTTTTTAATTTCTCCAGTAATATCATATTCCATGCATACATATTGATTGCACTTTATCTAAGGGATAAATTAAATTGATAAGCATACCGAAATGAGCAAATAGTGTCTGGGCAGCCAGTCTGCTGAGCAACACTTTTAAAATCAAATCTGTAACCAACGAGATCAACTTTAATGTACCTTTGGCGCATCTTACACACATATTTGCATTTATGACAGACATGCAATACCAGAAATACCAAACAACGAAATGCATGTATGAGAAAATAAATATAAAAAAGATTAACATTTACTTGGCATTTTCTACTGATTCTATTGACATTTCATCTGAAATACAGTAGAAGATTAATTGTCATTTAAATACTGCAGGGATTCTTGCGTTTATGTGACAAAATGTCACCTTTAAACATCTGAAGTTTTTCTGTTATAAAAAAGAAAAAGAAAACTGTTAAAAAAATGAATGATATCGATATAACAATAAGGGGTGTGGTATGATTGCCAATGAGACAACTATCCATCAGAGTACAAATTTGCATTGATATAGTTGTTTTATTTTCCTAATATTATGATAGAAAGTAAATGTGATGATATAATATACATACATATCAATTGTTATCTTTGTTATTCATACTTTTTATTATATTATTTGAATGTGACTAGGTAATCAAAAGCAAATTATATTTTTATTGGTACGTGAAGTCAGGTTTGATGCAGACTGAGTGTCAAAATGCCGAGATCTTACTGATTATATCAGTGGGTAAATGAAAGTTACATGCAGTTATTAAAACCACCCCATTTTCGCATCAAATGCAAAAAAAAAATGCGCCATCAATAAAAACACGTCGAGATAAGAATATTTGTAAAGGGCATAGCTACACAAACCATTTTGTACGGTTAAAATGAAAAAAAAAGACCCCTGTTACAATATACCGTATCAACACTAATATGATAATTGAATTTATTAGAAATATAGTGAAATCCCTAAACCTATATAATATCATGCAGAATTCGAGTTTAATCTTCATTTGTCAACTTTATTTGACATTATGAGAAACAGTGGGACTTCATAAAACTGAGGATTGTCATTAAATATTTAATTGCTCAGTATATATTGTTTATGTCCAATCGTCTAAGATCTAAGATTACAGCCGTCTCGGGCAATTGTAACACAAGGCGGTTGTAGCCGGTCAGTTTATACCATTTTAGCTGTTATGCCCATATTGAAAATAATACTTTATAAATTTGGTGCATTTGAAGCGCTGTGTTTACCTCCATCAGGAATGCTTTAAACCCAAAATTTGAATCTCAAGGATGTATAGATCTATACTAGATAAACGTCTTTCCAAACTTTTGGTCTGGACCGTACCTATAATGAAGGTTATTCTACAGACACATCGTGTCTGGACCGTACCTATAATGAAGGTCATTCTACAGACACATGGTGTCTGGACCATACCTATTGAAGGTTATTCTACAGACACATGGTGTCTGGACCATACCTATTGAAGGTTATTCTACGGACACATGGTATCTGGACCGTACCTATTGAAGGTTATTCTACAGACACATGGTGTCTGGACCGTACCTATTGAAGGTTATTTTACAGACACATGGTGTCTGGACCATACCTATTGAAGGTTATTTTACAGACACATGGTGTCTGGACCATACCTATTGAAGGTTATTATGCAAATACATGGTGTCTGGACCGTACCTATTGAAGGTTATTCTACAAATACAAGGTGTCTGGACCGTACCTATTGAGGGTTATTCTACAAACACTTGGGGTCTGGACCGTACCTATTGAAGGTTATTCTACAAACACATGGTGTCTGGACCATATACCTATAGTACAAGCACGTGTTATTCGTACTGAAATAAGTACTATACAAGTTATTTAAATGTTAATATAGTCTTACATAGGTTTTTTGCACAATAGTTATAAAGAATGATTGTTTTTACCTTTTGACATAACATATAAATGAATTACGTGTGTGTTCAATGGCATTTTGTCTTGTAAGAACAACTCGAACGAACTCAAAATGTGTTTGTAGTATTTATGTATAATGAAAGAATTTGTCAGTTGACGAAACTAATAACAAAAGTAAGAAGATGATAGCGGTAATGACAAAAACAGGCGCGTTTCACATGATTTACAATGGTAAGATGAAACGAAATGATTTATTTCCTACCAAAATATTCACTTTATCACTAGAGAATGGTAATAGAATTGAAGACTTTAATGACTTATTTCATCAATTATCGCCATAGATTATAGATGCCAAGTAGTTTTTAATGAAGAAAAATTCATATTTTATCATGTAGATTATTTAAATGGGCAACACCAGAAATATGAAATATAATTTGATTTTTATCACTTATATGAATTTATCAATAACAATTAAACATATTGTCCGGTCACTTCAATGAATCCATCTCCAAACCTCGAAAATTCAGTAAATATGGTACTAAATGGTCAATTTGGTTACTAGTATGACAAAAAGAGGAATTGATTAAAAATGTGTTATACGATACAAAATGTTTTCTACTGGCTCTTGGATGTTTTGCCCCTCAGAGTAAATCATCTGCCTGCAATAATTAGCCGTATATATATAGTGGTATAACTTGAACGAATTGAGACGAAAAATGCACTGCATACCATTAATAATTCGGATATAGCTGTTCAGTGTTCAATTTGAAAGAAGATAAATTATGTTAACCCTTTTATAACTATTTTTCTCTTTTCATAAATTATCGACAGAAATATTTCTGAGCTTCAGTGATTTTAATCAAATTTCATACTTATAATTGATGTGCAATCTCATCGTTTCGCCACTTAAAATATTTTGAGTAAGTTAATTATGTTTCTAGATTACACTTTTACCAATCTGAAGTTGTACTTCTTGACCTTGTTTTTCTTTATGAAGCCATTTAAAGATATAATATACTGTTGATTACGGTTTATTTTCACTTCTTATAAACTGCATATCATCCCGTATTATTAAGATAACATATATACTTACTTTCATCCACGATATGTATAAACAGGCACCTAATATACTGTAAAAGTGTGGCTCGACAGTGAATTGCACGCACTTTGTGATTGGTTTCCTCAAAAGGGATTTGTGTAAAAAAAAAAAATGTACAATATTTTTCCAATCAACTCATGTCCAAAATTTACTCTGTATCACCTTCTTTATTGGGGATAGGGGTAAAAAGGGGGGTTGACGTCCTACACCGTATCACCTTCAAACCCCAACCCCTTTTTATATGCTGTTGAAAGTCAAAAATTTAAATCGGCTTTTGGTAGTTGATATTCCAATTATGCAATCAGTCATACTGATAATTCATAATTATTCAGTGATACATATCATTATATCATAACGGATATGTTGAATTGTAAAAATAGCTAATAAATTAGAATATGGTTAATATTTATTTTAATGATATGAATGTACTAATCAACTCCGGCTGTTACTTCTTCATATATATACACTACTTGTTATGTACAGTCTTGTATAATATTAAACAATACAATCGTACCGAATACGTGCTAAATTGACAAGAACCATATTGAAATAGTACAAGACTTGAGAAAAGCCCATCTCAGTTAACAAGATGACATAGCGAATCAGACAATAGTATGACTTCTCTTTAGTCAACTTAACCAGAAGTTTTCTATTCAAAGATTTAAACGATCTTTTAAATACTATAAATCTTATAATCCAATTTCATATTTTTTTATACCTAGGTCAATTAAAAGTGAAAAAAATTTCAAAACCTAAACATAATCTCAAAGAATGCCAGTTTCTTCGCTTTGGTAAACTAACTAACGAACAAAAATATTGAAAGCGTGTGAAAAGCATCGCTTAATTTAAGAGAACAATTGTGTCAAGTTTCAATTGAAAATGAACGCGAATTTTGTATGGCATTTTTCTTAAATTACGTGTTAAACGGTTTAGAATAATATTTACACAACCAAACGTGAATAAAAGGAAAGTAAAATGTAGATATTTAATAAGACGTTAAAAATAGTATGAATATTTAGATTAATATGTTTGTCGTAATGATAGAAATGTACGTTATATCAATATGTTCGAGTAATTATTCATTTACTACATATTTGTCATTATTTGTCAGATCCATGAGATTTATTTCTATTTACCTAGACATAAAACTGTCCCGTCAATATTGTTCCTTGTTGAAACACACATTACATACTTAGTATTAATTTGATTTGTAATAATGCGTGGATGTATTTGTCAACGCCGTAATATACATTTTCCTTTTTATTATTCATGTGTAATAGACTTAAGAAAACCATTCTATAGAGCTGTTCAATGAAAATTCATAGCTTATTATTCCGTATAATTGGAACTCTTGTATAATGTACGAGATTCAAGATGTTTATTTTCTGTAATTCCATTTCAATTATATGTAAATCGCTTTATTTTTCCTTGTAACAGAGTGCTGAAAGTGCATTCGGGTAATGTACAAGTTATGTCGTATTCGCAAC